ATAGTGCTGTTGAGGCTACTGTAGACCTTTGCAAAATACTGTGTTTTAATCAGTTATTTGGTGATGTGATTATATTGAGTATAGTTTTATCTAAAAAGGATCACTTTTTTAATGTTTTACCATTTACATTTTCATGAAATTCACTGAGGAGGATGGCCCTCCCCTTCTTCCTCTGAAGAGCCTCCACTGGTATTGACTGCAGCTGAAATGCTTCCTGAGGAGACTATAGATGGCATCTGGGTTAGCTAGAATGTCACTATTCCTGATTCCGATTGAGACTACATCTTCTGCTCTTCCCTTGAGATGGATGAGAATCTCTCAGGCCTGTTCCTCTATTTTCATGTGTCCCTTTTTAATAAAGTTTATCATGGCCTCTTCCCATTCATCAAATGTAATTGTGTCTTATCTCTCCCCTCTAAAGGAAGGTGGTTCTTTGACTTTTCTTTGGGCAACTACTTGGACTTGGGAGAAGTCTAGAACTTGGCTAACTGGAGGGTCAGGTCTGTGTCTTGGTTCACTTTGGCTAGTGGCTGTAGCTCCTGTTGGGCTACTAGAACTGAAGTGCATGATAATGCTATCAGCTAGCTGCTGTCCTATCTGTTGGACTATGATACTCATCTGGCCTATTAGCACTGCATTGTCATTGGGGTTAGGAGTGGAGGTGCTAACAACCTGGGGCCTAGGTGAGTTGACTGCATGATGACAATGAGAAGCTGCATTGTCCCCACTGACTAAAGGAACTTCCCCTGCAATTTCACTACCATTGACATCACCACACACACTAGGACTACCAGTTGGGAAAGGAATAGATAACCCCAACACACCCCTTCCCCTACCAACATTGAGAGGTGTTAGCAAATCTGAAAAACAAATACGGTTGAAACTCATTGTAGTAGCTCAAAATGAAAGTTGATAAAAAAAATATTTTGTAGCAAAATTTGAAATTGTGTTTTTTACATTGGATAAAAGTAGAGACTCAGAGCTAGAAAATTGTGTATCATACATTACAGTTGAGGAAAAATTAGAAATTAATTCTGCGTTGAAAATTGGTAAACTTGTAACCTAACTTATGAGAAAATTGCCTTTGAATGTTTTGTACACCTTATGGAGACCTCTTCTTTGTCTACACCCATTCAGCATCGTTCACACCCTCTCAAGCTTTAGCCCCACCCATCTCTTTAAGGTATGATCCGAGCGTCCTGTCCTAACAACAGCAGTCAAGCTAACTGGCTAGCTTGCTAGCTACTTCCAGACACAAATGAGAGAACAGCTCACTCTGACCATTTTACTCGCCCTAGCAGAGCTGGTTAGGATGTTTTTATGTTTTCCAGAGCGTTGGTGACTGCAACTGTGCTGCTGGCAACAATTTACGCTTTTTTGCAAACGTCTACTGACACCGGCCATATTCCATGGGTGTTGAGCGTTCGTAATTTCGTCAGTTATTATGCGCTCTGGCACACTCAGACGAGAGTTCTCTGAAATCGGAGTAGATAGCCAGAGCGAATTTAAAAGCTACATCTATCAACCTTGCCACCAGAGGTCTCTTCACAGTCCCCAAGTCCAGAACAGACTATGGGAGGCACACAGGACTACATAGAGCAATGACTACATGGAACTCTATTCCACATCAGGTAACTGATGCAAGCAGTAGAATCAAATTTAAAACATTTCTAAAAATACACCTTATGGAACAGCGGGATTGTGAAGCAACACAAACATAGGCACAGACACATGCATACACACACATGATAACATACGTTCTATACACACACGTACACATGGATTTTGTGTTGTAGATATGTGATAGTGGATTATGGGTCTGAGGGGGCACACTTTATGTTGTAAATTCTGTAATGAATGTATTGTAATGTTAAAAAAATTAATTTTGTTGGACCCCAGGAAGAGCTAATGGGTACAAATATCTACCTCAAATACCTTGTAACCCTGCACACTTATCTGGAACTGGTACTCCTTGTATATAGCTTTATTCTTGGGTATTTTATTCCTCGTCAAACATTAAAGGAACAGTTGTCTCCATGTCTCGTCCGTACCTGGTAGGAGTACTCGGGTGGGGGTCCCGCGGAGTTCATCCCATTGGCTGGGGGAGGAGGGTAGGCATAGGCCTCATTGGCCATATATTTTCCAGATAATCTACCAATTTTCCTTCCTGAGGAAATTGCAAGAAATTCTCGGGCTTCGCGGTATTCCCGTTCAAACCGAAAGTGCTATTTAAAAGCATATAATACCATTAAATAAAATCTGACATGATTATACCACTCTAAATGGAGAAATATGCACAATCTAAAGGGTTCTTTATGTATTTGTTGCAATTTAATCAACAATGTTCTCTCAAAGTCACCACACCATTTCATTGATGTAGCCTAGTTTTAACAGGCCTATGAAGCACTGATGGCCGACGGGTCAAATATGAGGTTAATACAGTAAAAATTAATATTTTTGCCTACCTTTGATTTGAAAGATGCATTTTGGTCCTTTTCTCTCCCCTTGCACCTGGCTATCGAGGGAATTTGGAAGGTTGTGGCATGATTAGCTGTTCAGGAGTCTTATGGCTTGGGGGTAGAAGCTGTTGAGAAGTCTTTTGGACCTAGACTTGGCACTCCGGTACCGCTTGCCGTGCGGTAGCAGAGAGAACAGTCTATGACTAGGGTGGCTGGAGTCTTTGACAATTTTGAGGGCCTTCCTCTGACACCGCCTGGTATAGAGGTCCTGGATGGCAGGGAGCTTTGCCCCAGTGATGTACTGGGCCGTACGCACTACCCTCTGTAGTGCCTTGCGGTCAGAGGCCAAGCAGTTGCCATACCAGGCGGTGATGCAACCAGTCAGGATGCTCTCGATGGTGCAGCTGTAGAATTTTTGAGGATCTGAGGACCCATGCCAAATCTTTTAGTCTCCTGAGGGGGAATAGGCTTTGTCGTGCCCTCTTCACGACTGTCTTGGTGTTTTTGGACCATGATAGTTCGTTGGTGATGTGGACACCAAGGAACTTGAAGCTCTCAACCTGTTCCACTACAGCCCCGTCGATGAGAATGGGGGCGTGCTCAGTCCTCTTTTTTTTCCTGTAGTCCACAATCATCTCCTTTGTCTTGGTCACGTTGAGGGAGAGGTTGTTGTCCTGGCACCACACGGCCAGATCTCTGACCTCCTCCCAGGTTAACATTGCCTTTAACCTAAAAGTTTGGATTTTTACTGGCATATGCAGACCAACCCCCAAAACGATTGGCTAATGATATGAGAGCTGGTGTTACATGTAAGAATTCACGAGTAGGAAACCAATTGTCCGTAGACTCAAGACTAGTAGACACTCAGCAGAGTAATTTAAATGCAATTTGACAACATTCAGCACTGACACCATTAACCCCAATTCTAGCAACATCCTCATTTACAGACGTGATATGCACCAAGCGCTCAGTTCTACAACTCAGTAAACAAACTACATCAGGTTAAATTGACCTAGAACCCATTACATCATTTGATGCTACTAGCATAAGCAAATGTAACCCATTACTTCACTTATTGTTATGATTTTGTCAGAGGAAACTAATCTGAATCTCCAATAATCAAACAGTTAAGCGGAGATTCAACAATGGATAGCGCCGCAGTTGATCAATTGCCCGTGAATCTAAACCCACATTTAATATGCCATTCTTCATATTTGAACCGTAGGCTATATTTTACATAAAATCTTATGAGGCCTACTTACTGCATCTGTTTTCTAGCAATAAAGTAAATGATCATCTCTGAAGTCACAGCATAAATGAAACGTGAGACTTTGGACTACACAAACGGACTATATATTCAAAGTAAATAAACTGCCATTATTACTTTTATTCAATACAAAATACAGTTCTCGCATTATTTTTCAACAGGAAAAACACTTGGTCAGAAACTAAGTAATTGACACTGACTGATTCCATGTAGCAAACAAAATCATTTGCATAGGCCATACCCGTTTTAACGTGTTGCTTCAAAACAGGCTCAATTCAGGTCGGATTTGCAGTCGGCCTCGTTGGCATAAATGAGTAAAGCTTTGCCACAGACCTTTTGTATTAAAGCAGGTAGGCCTACCGGTAGCTCAAAAGTTGGAGTCAATTTTGTTACTGTATTTCAAGGTTGCGTGTACATGCACTTTGAATTCATGGCGACTAAAAACGGTAGGCTACGACGCACAAACCCTAGGCGCTACAAGCAACTCTGGGAGAGCTAGGACCAGATCGCAGCCTGCCAGCTAAGACAGGTTAACATTGCCTTTAACCTAAAAGTTTGGATTTTTACTGGCATATGCAGACCAACCCCCAAAACGATTGGCTAATGATATGAGAGCTGGTGTTACATGTAAGAATTCACGAGTAGGAAACCAATTGTCCGTAGACTCAAGACTAGTAGACACTCAGCAGAGTAATTTAAATGCAATTTGACAACATTCAGCACTGACACCATTAACCCCAATTCTAGCAACATCCTCATTTACAGACGTGATATGCACCAACCCCAAGCGCTCAGTTCTACAAACTACATCAGGTTAAATTGACCTAGAACCCATTACATCATTTGATGCTACTAGCATAAGCAAATGTAGCTTAAGAAAGTCCAATGGTAATTTAAACACCTTAACCACAAATTGGTCGAAGTAGTAATATATTGCTGATGCCAAAGCATGTTTATAATGCAATAAAACTGTTTTGCCATCACCCCAGTTACTAAAGTCAGGTCATTGAACCTCCAAAACAAAACTAAGGACACAAGTATTAAAGTTACTGTTTAATTGAGGCAAAACACACAAACGCAGTTACACACAACCTGGACTAGAGTACCCATGTACGTCCCACTTCAGATATCCATGTTTGTGGTCAACGGGGTCTCAGATGCAGAGGTGAACTGTTCCTCAATGGCATGGTCAGTAACAGAAGGCGCTTGGTCTACAGACTCGTCCCCACTTGTGCTAGAGTATAAATTAACCACAATCAGTAGTTCTCGTGGCTTCAGTAGCCAGTTGTGGCGTCGTCGGACGTGCCGGTTGTGGCTTCTGAAGCCGCGTCGGACGTGCCAGTTGTGGCTTCTGAAGCGGCGTCGTCAGACGTGCCAGTTGTGGCTTCTGAAGCGGCGTCGTCAGACGTGCCAGTTGTGGCTTCTGAAGCGGCATCGTCAGACGTGCCAGTTGTGGCTTCTGAAGCGGCATCGTCAGACGTGCCAGTTGTGGCTTCTGAAGCGGCGGCGTCGGACGTGCCAGTTGTGGCTTCTGAAGCGGCGGCGTCGGACGTGCCAGTTGTGGCTTCTGAAGCGGCGTCGTCGGACGTGCCAGTTGTGGCTTCTGAAGCGGCGTCGTCGGACGTGCCAGTTGTGGCTTCTGAAGCGGCGTCGTCGGACGTGCCAGTTGTGGCTTCTGAAGCGGCGTCGTCGGACGTGCCAGTTGTGGCTTCTGAAGCGGCGTCGTCGGACGTGCCAGTTGTGGCTTCTGAAGCGGCGTCGTCGGACGTGCCAGTTGTGGCTTCTGAAGCGGCGTCGTCGGACGTGCCAGTTGTGGCTTCTGAAGCGGCGTCGTCGGACGTGCCAGTTGTGGCTTCTGAAGCGGCGTCGTCGGACGTGCCAATTGTGGCTTCTGAAGCGGCGTCGTCGGACGTGCCAGTTGTGGCTTCTGAAGCGGCGTCGTCGGACGTGCCAGTTGTGGCTTCTGAAGCGGCGGCGTCGGACGTGCCAGTTGTGGCTTCTGAAGCGGCGTCGTCGGACGTGCCAGTTGTGGCTTCTGAAGCGGCGTCGTCGGACGTGCCAGTTGTGGCTTCTGAAGCGGCGTGAGAAGGAGGGGTGGGAGCTGAGATACAGGCGCTCTTCTTGTCTTCAGTAGGAGAGTAGGGTGGAGTTTTGTTAAGAGAATTTATTTACTAACTATTTCAGTGTCTCTGTGCGTTTCCCAAAGTTTGTAAGACTTTGGTTCAAGAAACGGACAGAGCCTCAGTGCAATAGCCAGGTCTTTATTCAGAGAATTCTGCCCAAAGAATTCTGTTATCACAATTTCAGAGTCCATCTTTTATACACACACGTCATACAAAAATCCCACCCCGCTTTAGGCGGGCTGTATTTTTCCACTGTACATGGGTTTAGCTCATGTTTTCCTCTGCTCTCCTGACCATCAGGTCACACACACACACACACACGCGCACACACACACACACACACACACATATTCTTATCATAGTCTACTCCTTGCTCTGGCAGGCTGCATTTTTTAGTTATCGCCGTTCTCACAATATTCTGACTGCCTCATTGTACTTCTAACTAAGCTACACATATTATCGGATTATAGTCTTATGATTCTAACACTTTTCACACAGTTTCAGGGTGTAATAATTAGTCATTAATAATTAGTCATTACCAAATTCTTCTATCAAGGTTTGTCCTTTAGAAGATGTTTTCATACACTCCCCTAATTTATTTGGACAGTGAAGCTAAGACTTTTAATTTGTATCTATTCTCCAGCATTTTGGATTTGAGATCAAGTGTTTTGTGTGAGGCGATAGTAAAGAATGTCACCTATTTTAGGTTATTTTCATGCGTATATGTTTAGAAATGAAGGCACTTTATGTATCCCCCAATTTGAATGTGCCATAATTATTTGGACAAATTCAATTATAGTGAGTAGTAAAACATTTAGTGTGAAAAGTTTAGTATTTGGTCCCATATTCCTAGCACGCATTGACAACATCAAGCTTGTGACCAGTATTCCATCTAATTTATTTTAGCACTGAGCAAATTTCAGGTCTGCTGAGCGCGAACATGAATGTTGTGAAAACTCTGTGCAACTTCCAGCGATTGTTAACTGTGAACACTGAGGCTGTACCCGCTTTAACTTACTGTTTTAACAGTGGCCAAGTAGGCTACCTCCAGTGACACGCTCAATAAGGAAGTGGTCCGAAGAAGCAGAAACGAGGCAACAAGACTGTTTTGCTAGTACAGACTGTGATATGTTCTGGGATTCATCTGATAGCATTGAGTAGTTTACCACATATGTCATGGGCTTCATTAAGTGTATGGACAACATCGTCCACATGAAGAAGCAGACGCGAGGGTACTTCTACAAGACTGTTTTGCTAGTAGAGACTGTGATATGTTCCGGGATTCATCTGATAGCATGGGCTTCATTAAGTGTATAGACAATGTCGTCCACACAGTGACTATACAAAAGGTATCGAACACAAAAACCTATGGATTACAGGCAATATCTGTGCTGGGCTAAAGCTGCAACATACAAGGAACCGAACACGGACATGGACTCATAAAAGAAAGCCAGCTAAGACCTCCGACGAGACATCAAACATGCAAAAGGACAATATAGGAGGAAGGTGGAATCCTATTACACCAGCTTCAACGCTCATCGGATGTGGCAGGGCATGCAGGCGATTACTGATTACAAACCCAACTGTCAGATACCCAGTGACACAGAACTCCCAAACAAGCTAAATGCAGTTCATGCTCGCTTTGAGTAAAACAACACTGAGTCTTGCATGAAAGCCCCTGTTGTTCCAGATGGCTGTGCAATCGCGCTCTCTGTGGACGGAGTAAAACATTTAAATAGGTTAACACTCGCAAGGCCGCTGGGCCAGCCGGAATACCAGAACGAGTTCTCAGAGCATTCGCAGACCAGCTGGAAAGTGTCTTCGCAGACATTTTCAATCTCTCCCAGTCTGTAATCCCGACATGTTTCAAGCTGACTACCATTGTCCGTGTTCCCAAGAACTCCAAGGTAACCTGTCTGTGGCAATCACATCTGTAATTATGAAGTGCTTTGAAAGGCTGGTCATGTCTACATCAACACCATCATCCAAGACACCATGTACCCACTCCAATTCAAATATCTCCCCAATAGATCCACAGATGAAGCAAACTCAATTGAGAGGGGAAATAACTATGTGAAAATGCTGTTCATAGACTACAGCTCAGCGTTCAACACCATAGTCCCCTCCAAGCTCGCGACACTGGGACTGAAGACCTCCCTCTGCAACCGGATGCTGGACTTTCTGACTGTTCGGTCCCAAGTGGTGAGGATAGGCAAGAACACCTCCTCCACACTGACCTTCAACACGGGAAACCCTCAGGGGTGTCTGCTTAGTCTCCTCCTGTAGTCCCAGTTCACTCACGACTGCGTGGCCACACATGACTCCATCATCAAGTTTGCTGACGACACGACAGGGAGGAGGTCAGAGACTTGGTATTGTGGTGCCAGGACAACCTCTCCCTCAATGTCAGTAAGAAAAAGGAGCGGATCGTGGACTATAAGAGCAAGAGGGGAGAGCACATCCCCATCCACATAAACAGGGCTGTTCCTTGGCATCCACATCACTAAGGACCTAACATGCTCCACATGTGACCTTCCTGGTCCTGGTCCATCACAGGAAGGAGCAACGGATGGATAGTTCATTTATTTCAAAAATCTGCAGTGATGGGACACACACACAGTGTGGATGAATGATCAGTAGTCAATGGGATATAAATAGCACTCCCACAGCAATTCTCCATAAATCTGATGTATAATATACTAACAAAAAAAACAATCGAAATGTCTACCAAAGTCATTGTGATCCTATAGTGGATTTAACAATTTCTAATAATTCCCAATTTACTATAATAAAAATAAATACATTGTTTTCATGTGTAATCTCATATTTACAACATAAGAATACATTTATAATCCATTTTAATATTCAAAATATATCAAATTATCCTGAAAAATTACTCAATGTTGCACTCTTGTGGCGAAGAAAAATAATTCACCTACAATGTACTACATATATTCCTAAGCTAACAAAAGCAGGCTAATGCGCTGGCTGGTGCTCATGAGTTTATAAAACATATACTTTATACATTTGTCATAAATTACCTGCAATGATGGGACATACACAAAGTATGGATGTATGATCAGCAGTCGACGGGATGTAAATAGCACTCCTAAAGAAGATGCATTTTCGAGTTAGCTACCAACTTCAAAGAGGGTACGTTAGCTAGCATAAAACCTACATGGAAAACTGAGATTTGGGAAATAACATATAAAGAGTGGCTTTTTTGACCCAAACCAACAACAGTAGTTACTAATAACATACATTGCTAATGTACAATGTAAAAGGTGGATTTTATAATGTAACGTCAACTTCATACATTTCTATCCCAGGACCATTCCATTTTCAACTCACTCTCCATAAATCTGTGTGGATTACCCAGAATCCCATACCTTTATTACTGGGTATATTAGACAATGTAACTACACTAATCTACCAGGAGGTGGCATAATACACATTTTATGCAGGAATTTAACAACTTACAGTACACCGTTACATACACACCCATTAAATTCTGCAAAATTGGAGAAGCACATCCCTAAGTCTGCAGACCATAGAGAGAATATAATTTTATAAAAAATATACAAAGAAAAAACTGTGTATCTCATAGAGCACTGTTGTACATGTCAATTGTAAAACACTCCTCTAGGAAGTGTGTGATAATGGAGATGTACCAGGCCCCAAACCTAACTTAGACTAAATAGATGCCTTGTACACCTCTCACACTATGATGTAGCTCTATACTTTAAGTACTTGGAAAACACTTGCTTTGTGTTAGCTTGGCTTCTGCTTATCCTCTTGACACATCCTCTACTCCTCTACACTGCAAACATGCTTCTGATGAAGGAAAGCAAAGTGCTAACTGACGAATCTGAATAATCTATGACTTGGTTTTAGACCTTTTTGGAGGTCTAAACGATCTACCAACTCTTGTTTTGGCTGAAGCAGGCTGAATGCAAACTACAGGCTCTGGTTTGTCAATGGACGCTTCTGAGTGGTAATTTTCTTGGGCAGGCTCAGAGATGTGAAAGTCATTCATACTGTCCACAGAAGTGGGTGATGTGTGAGGGAAAATTCTAAGATTACAATATTTTTTGACTAACCAGTTATTAGAGATGCCTATACAAGCATTTGTAACTAGCTATTAGAAACTTGAATAATTGTAGAGTTCTCTGTTTAAAGGAACAGAGAAGACGTATTGCTGAGCACACAGGCAAGGTGTGAGACGACAAGATGGTTTCACACCTTCCCCCGCCTCAGGGTTGCTTCCTCTCTCCCACTTTCACTCCCCACAGCCGTTCTGAGTGTACAGCCAAGGACACATCTGGCAACCATAGATAGCTCAAGGAGCAGAAGCAGACTCGTTATTGTTCTAAAGCATCCTCTTCCTGAGAAACTAAGCCAGGGTGGGGTAAACAACACCCGGTGCACTCGACCACAAGTTGACACAAAATTATTGTGAAGCCCAGGTGCGCCGGGGAGGAGTGGAATCAACCATGTCTCAGCAGTTCCTAGATTGCTATATACACCCTCTGCATTCTCCGTGTTGTTGAGCTCTCGGCATTCCACCTTAGAGTGTATGGTTGACCAGCTTCATTATTGCAATAATTCAATAAAGATTAATTGTTTGAAGAAACTACTGTGTCTCTCCCACTTGGTTAGAATTTCCACGACAGATGTCACTACTGGGGTCATCACTATCTTGGTAAATCACTACATCACTGAGGTTGCTGGCCAGTTCTTCATCTGGATGAGGACTATTCTCAACTGCATCAGTTAAGTCATCCGGTAAATCTCGTTCTTCGCTTTCAGCGGTTTGCATGAGCTTGTTCACTGTCCATGTATCACAGTCCTATTCTTCATCAGGTATCTCAGGTACACTTCCACAGATGGCTTCATCATCAATTCCCGTGTCTAGTGGAAGGAATGTTACAGAAAGCAGGAGATTCCTGTGAACAACTTTCTCTTTGGCTGTCTGTAGATCCTTAATCCTGTGTACATTGATGGCTGGTTTCACTGATGTCACTTCATTTAATGTTGAGTCCCATCTATCTGCATTCTTCCTTTTTCCGCTTTCACCCCTGTTGGATAGTGGCACTCTGTCTCCTACCATCAATGGTGATCCTTTTACCTTGCGGTTGTAGTGCTTTGCATGGCGTGTCGGTTCATGAAGGCTGTGCTTCTGAGCTATTTGAGCTGCTTCATTCAGGTCTTTCTTCAAGTGACACAAACTCCAGATGGTTGATTACACTGTTGTCTGTGAGGACATTCTGAAACATGACGTCAACGGGAAGTCGTGGGGTCCTCCAAAACATGAGATAAAACGGTGCCAAGACAGTTGTCTCGTGCTCTGTGCAGTTGTAGCAGAAGGTCAACATCTGTAACATTTGGGGGCCACTTGGCTTTGGTTGTCACGATCGCCCAAGAAGTATGACCAAAGCGCAGCGTTGGGAGTGAACATCTTGACTTTAATAATTCAACACGAGAATACAAAACAAACCACGATCGTGAAGTCCTCAGTGACAACTACTGAACAATGAACAAAAACCCACAACCACAAGGTGAAAACACACAGTATAAATATGGCTCCCAATCAGAGATAACGAGCCGACAGCTGACACTCGTTACCTCCGATTGGGAGTCATTGAACAAACATAGACCTAGACAACCTAGAACATAACACAACCCAACACCAAACACAACCAAATAAACACACCCTGGCTCAAAATACACAGTCCCGGAGCCAGAGCGTGACAGTACCCCCCCCTAAAGGCGCGGACTGCGACCGCGCCTCAAAAACCCCAAACAGGGGAGGGCTGGGTGGGTGTTGCTCCTCGGAGGCGGCTCCGGCTCCGGGCTTGACCACCACCCCACTTCACTCCCCCCGTAGTGCCCCCGGTCCGATCTGACCCAGCTTGCTGGATCAGGACCTCCGACGCGCGCCCCTGGCTTGGTGCGTGGAGGACGAACGGGCCTTACCAGGCTGACGACGCGCACCACTGCCTTGGCGCGGGGAGCAGGAACGGGCCGGACCGGGCTGACGAAGCGCACCCTTGACTTGGTGCGGAGAGCGGGCCCGGGCCGGACAGGGCTGACGAAACGCACCACAGGCTTGATGCGTGGAGCCGGAATGGGCCTCACCAGGCTGACGACTCGCACCCTTGGCTTGGTGCGAGTAGCAGGAACAGGCCGGGCTGGGCTGGCGACGCACACCGTAGGTCTCGTGCGTGGAGCAGGAACAGGCCGGGCTGGGCTGGCGACGCACACCGTAGGTCTCGTGCGTGGAGCAGGAACAGGCCGGGCTGGGCTGGCGACGCACACCGTAGGCTCTGTGCGTGTGGCAGGAACAGGCCGGGTCGGGCTGGCGACGTACACCGTAGGCTTAGTACGTGGAGCAGGAACCGGCCGGGCTGGACTGGCGACGCACACCGTGGGTCTGGTACGTGGAGCAGGAACAGGTCGGGCTGGGCTGGCGACGCACACCGTAGGCTCTGTGCGTGTTGCAGGAACAGGCCGGGTCGGGCTGGCGACGTACACCGTAGGCTTAGTACGTGGAGCAGGAACCGGCCGGGCTGGACTGGCGACGCACACCGTGGGTCTGGTACGTGGAGCAGGAACAGGTCGGGCTGGGCTGGCGACGCACACCGTAGGCTCTGTGCGTGTGGCAGGAACAGGCCGGGTCGGGCTGGCGACGTACACCGTAGGCTTAGTACGTGGAGCAGGAACCGGCCGGGCTGGACTGGCGACGCACACCGTGGGTCTGGTACGTGGAGCAGGAACAGGTCGGGCTGGGCTGGCCACGTACACCGTAGGCTTAGTACGTGGAGCAGGCACCGGCCGGGCTGGGCTGGCGACGCGCACCGTCCATTTGGTGCGAGGGGTCGTAACAGGCCGGACCGTACTGGGGACACACACCACTGGCTCTACCCCGGGAACTGGAACGGGCCGGACCGGACTGGTAATACAACCCAGTACCACTCGCCGTGCCTCTACATCTCCACTCCCTACTTTGACCAGTGGGCCCCGTAACCTGGTGGCCTTTTGAATTCGCCCCTTCTCTGCCTCCGTCAGCCCCGTCGTCCATGCCCTGTGCCCCCCCCTAAAAATTTCTTGGGGGTGCCTCTCGTCCCTCCGACGCTGCTCCCACATCCAGGCTGCCGACTCCTGGACACGCTGCTTGGTCCTTTGATGGTGGGTTTTTCTGTCACGATCGCCCAAGAAGTATGACCAAAGCGCAGCGTTGGGAGTGAACATCTTGACTTTAATAATTCAACACGAGAATACAAAACAAACCACGATCGTGAAGTCCTCAGTGACAACTACTGAACAATGAACAAAAACCCACAACCACAAGGTGAAAACACACAGTATAAATATGGCTCCCAATCAGAGATAACGAGCCGACAGCTGACACTCGTTACCTCCGATTGGGAGTCATTGAACAAACATAGACCTAGACAACCTAGAACATAACACAACCCAACACCAAACACAACCAAATAAACACACCCTGGCTCAAAATACACAGTCCCGGAGCCAGAGCGTGACATTGGTCATACCACCAAGGGTTCTATTGAAGGGATCTGTAATCCTATTCTGAATAGGATGGTAGGGAATAGTGTGTGATTTCTCCACATCAGCTAACTCCAACACTACATTTATCAGCCTGCTTTCAAAATTGGCTCCCTGGTCGGAGTGAATAGGCCTCAGAAATCCATATATGCAGAAGAAGTAATTCCACAGGCGACGAGCTACTTGCTTTGCAGACTGGTTCTTGCATGGGAATTTATGGGCCATTTTTGTGAAGTGGTCGGTTACAACTAAAACATCTATGGACTTGTTATCACTCTGTTCTGCAGTCCAAAAGTCGATACAAACCAATTTCATTGCTTCTGAGGTGCTAATGTTCTCAAGTGGAGCTCGAGCATGGGGTTCCAGAGTCTTTCAAACAATGCATCGATGGCAGTTCTTCACAGGACTCTCAATGTCATGCTCCATCCCAGTCCAAAATAATCGTTGTCTTGCAAGAGATAGTGTTCGAGAGCGCTTTTAGTGACCCGCTGTATCATGAAGGCCATGGAGAACTTGCTGCTTCAGTGAATCAGGTACAACATATTGGAAGAGCTTTTTGTTCATGTGATGGTCTCTCTTCTCCTTGTACAGTATTTCATCACGAATGGTGAGCTCTTTCAGGTGGTTCAGTAGTTTGATCACGCTGCAGGGTTCAGATGCACGCTCACGCCTGTTTGGTCTTTGATGTCTCTGAACGTAGTATATGGCTCTACTCACAGTACTGTCTTGCTGCTGTAGGCTTAACAGCTTACTCTGATAGAGAGCAGAGGTCTGGTCTTCCTATTGTAGCTGAGGAATGGCTGCCCCTGTTCCCATTACTTGACTCAGGCCACCAGCGCAGTGAGCATTCAAGATAGCTGAGATTTCTTGAGAGATAATGGAACCATGTGTTGAAGGTGACTTCATCAGTGTTCCCTTCAGGTGAGTCTCCGTCTGGTGGGCTCACCACTACTTGGCAGTTGTTGCTTGCTCTGAAGGTGTCCTGTACAGTCCTATTGGCCACTCCATTGACTCAATCTAGGAGAGACAGATAGGGCTCTGTCACAAGGCAGTGGCTAATACATTACTGGACGAATGAAGCTTGGCCCCAGTGATGTACTGGGCCGTATGCACTACCCTCTTTAGTGCCTTGCGGTCGGAGGCAGAGCAGTTGCCATACCAGGCGGTGATGCAACCAGTCAGGATGCTCTTGATGGTGCAGCTGTATAACTTTTTGAGGATCTGAGGACGCATGCCAAATCTCTGCTCACAGCGCTGGCTATTACATTCTTAATTCCAGGAACATATTTCAGGTCAAAGCTGTATGACGCAAGCTTAGACACCCAACGTTGCTCACATGCATCAAGTCTGGGTTTCATCAGTATGTATGTTAGCGGGTTGTTGTCAGTCCAGGCTGTGAAGTGTCGTCCCTTTAGCCAGTGGCTAAACTTGTCACAGACTGCCCACTTCAAGGCTAGAAATTCCAATCTGTGAGCTGTGTAGTTCATCTGAGAACGGGAGAGTTTTCTACTGGAAAAAGCCACGGGTCTGGCTATCTTTTCACCCTTGGGTATTTGAGAAAGCACTACTCCAATTCCAACAAATTAAGCATCAACAGCAAGAATGAACAGCTCATTGAAGTCTGTGTGAGCTAAGGTCACACTAGTCACCAGGTCACGTTTCAAGGTCTCGAACGCTTCTTGGCACTCTGTAGTCCAGTCAGAAGATAAGAGCTTGACATATGCTGTTTTCTGTTTAGGTTTTCGTCCTCTTCTCGCTGTGTTATGTTTGGTTGGCTCGGCTCGGCTGTGAGTTTGAAAAGCGGCTTGGCTTTGGCTGAACAGGTCTCTATGAAGTGTCCGTAGTAGAGAACTATTCCCAGCAACGAGCGGATCTTCTTTTGACACAGTGTTATTGCATCAGTCCATTTGGTCAGCTTTCAAATGTAATGATATTTAGTGATATTGACTTGTGTTTGAGTGTCAACGCAACCATACAGTGGGGGAAAAAAGTATTTAGTCAGCCACCAATTGTGCAAGTTCTCCCACTTAAAAAGATGAGAGAGGCCTGTAATTTAGATCATAGATACACGTCAACTATGACAGACAAAATGAGAAAAGAAATCCAGAAAATCACATTGTAGGATTTTTTATGAATTTATTTGCAAATGATGGTGGAAAATAAGTATTTGGTCAATAACAAAAGTTTCTCAATAGTTTGTTATATACCCTTTGTTGGCAATGACACAGGTCAAACGTTTTCTGTAAGTCTTCACAAGGTTTCAACACACTGTTGCTGGTATTTTGGCCCATTCCTCCATGCAGATCTCCTCTAGAGCAGTGATGTTTTGGGGCTGTCGCTGGGCAACACAGACTTTCAACTCCCTCCAAAGATTTTCTATGCGGTTGAGATCTGGAGACTGGGTAGGCCACTCCAGGACCTTGAAATGCTTCTTTACGAAGCCACTCCTTCGTTGCCCGGGCGGTGTGTTTGGGATCATTGTCATGCTGAAAGACCCAGCCACGTTTCATCTTCAATGCCCTTGCTGATGGAAGGAGGTTTTCACTCAAAATCTCACGATACATGGCCCCATTCATTCTTTCCTTTACACAGATCAGTCATCCTGGTCCCTTTGCAGAAAAACAGCTCCAAAGCATGATGTTTCCACCCCCATGCTTCACAGTAGGTATGGTGTTCTTTGGATGCAACTCAGCATTCTTTGTCCTCCAAACACGACGGGTTGAGTTTTTACCAAAAAGTTATATTTTGGTTTCATCTGACCATATGACATTCTCCCAATCCTCTTCTGGATCATCCAAATGCACTCTAGCAAACTTCAGACGGGCCTGGACATGTACTGGCTTAAGCAGGGGGACACGTCTGGCACTGCAGGATTTGAGTCCCTGGCGGCGTAGTGTGTTACTGATGGTAGGCTTTGTTACTTTGGTCCCAGCTCTCTGCAGGTCATTCACTAGGTCCCCCCGTGTGGTTCTTGGATTTTTGCTCACCGTTCTTGTGATTATTTTGACCCCACGGGGTGAGATCTTGCGTGGAGCCCCAGATCAAGGGAGATTATCAGTGGTCTTGTATGTCTTCCATTTCCTAATAATTGCTCCCACAGTTGATTTCTTCAAACCAAGCTGCTTACCTATTGCAGATTCAGTCTTCCCAGCCTGGTGCAGGTCTACAATGTTGTTTCTGGTGTCCTTTGACAGCTCTTTGGTCTTGGCCATAGTGAAGTTTGGAGTGTGACTGTTTGAGGTTGTGGACAGGTGTCTTTTATACTGATAACAAGTTCAAACAGGTGCCATTAATACAGGTAACGAGTGGAGGACAGAGGAGCCTCTTAAAGAAGAAGTTACAGGTCTGTGAGAGCCAGAAATCTTGCTTGTTTGTAGGTTACCAAATACTTATTTTCCAACATAATTTGCAAATAAATTCATTAAAAATCCTACAATGTAATTTTCTGGAAAAGTAATTCTCAATTTGTCTGTCATAGTTCACGTGTACCTATGATGAAAAGTACAGGCCTCTCTCATCTTTTTAAGTGGGAGAACTTGCACAATTGGTGGCTGACTAAATACTTTTTTCCCCCACTGTATATTAACATTTGAAGGAGATTTATCTACTGCTTGGACAGTTCCATCTGTGCCACTGACTTAGTCTGGCTTTAATTCCAGTTTGTCTACAAATTAATAATTGATATGTTGGATTCACATCTCCATCTAAACCAAAAATGTGCTAAAGAATATGACCAAATAAAATGAAATCAAACTTTAAATGCACTTTAAATAAAGTTTGATTTGATTTAGTGCTATTCTTTCAATTCGAGTTTTGGTTGAGATGGAGACGTGAATTCAACATATCACTTATTTTATTTATAGACTGGAATTAAAGCCAGAGCCTAAGTCAGTGACACAGATGGAACTGTCCAAGCAGAAGATGCATCTCTTTCAAATGTTGGTATTTGGTTACGTTGACAACCAAACACAAGTCAATATCACTAAATATCATTACATTTGAAATCAACCAGAGCTTGAAATGCTAGGCCTAATGTATTGTCTATTTTTTGTTGCATTCTGGGTTGAATTGAAACAATAGCTGTTGATCACTTTGCAAATGCCATATAGGCCTAAATAGCATCATTGATGTTATATGAGTGATAAAGTATGGTCACATTTAATTTGATCTGTAAAACCTACCCATTGGAATAACTTTGATAGCACCAGTGAATCTCTTTTGATTTTAAGTGGCGAGACTGTGGTCCTGTGTTTAAAGATATCCGGCCCAAAAATAGAAGGAAGAAAAAAAGCCTCTCCACTGTTTCCATACTCTGACCAATGGGGGCTGAGGCACTGTGTGTGTGTGTGTGTGTGTTTGTTTGTGTGTTTGTGTAGAGTGTGTGCCAATGTCTGTGGTGTGGATACAACATTTTCTGCACAATCTCACAGACAGGATCAGCGCAGACCAGTGTGTGTGCACACGCACTCAAGTGCATGTGCACTGCCCATTTATTATTTTCTAAGCACTCAATCAAGCTCATCTATGAGCTCATTATAACATTTTATAAGCAAAAACAATCACAATCAATATAATTTTGTGTGATAAACAGTAACAGTTTGTGATTGCTACCTTCATGGTGGCCTGATACATCCATGTTCTTAGCGATTTTGCAATTGAATGAGACTTTTGGATATGTTCCAGTTTTGTTGCTGGTGCTCAGTCAGATGATGAAACAGGGCAAATTGTGACCTTGAATAACATTCACCTACTGGCCTTTTCCCTTTTGGATAACCATGGCCATACTACCCCCTTGTGGTGGGCAGAGAGAATGTATGTAGATTTTCCAGTAGGCATTTCAGTTCCAACAATTACAGTATGATAGACTTTTGAATTCAGCAGGGCTGTCAAACGATTAAAAAGTAGTTAATTACAGGATTTACTGTGACTCATTCCGATTAATCGCAAATTCTGAATTTTCTCAAATTAAGCTGTAATTTAAAGGCCCAATGCAGCCATTTTATATCAATATCAAATACATTCTAGGTAACTATTAAGTAGTAGTTTTCCATTAAAATGGACAAAAATAGCTTTTTAGTAAAAACATGTTTCTCGAGGAAAAATTTTGCTAGGACTCTCTGGTTAGAAGGTCCTGTGTAGATTTTATTTCATTTTACATTGACATTTTAGTCATTTAGCAGACGCTCTTATCCAGAGCGACTTACAGTTAGTGAATACAATATTTTTTTTATACTGCCCCCCCCTGGGAATCGAACCCACAACCCTGGCGTTGCAAACGCCATGCTCTATCAACTGAGCTACATCCCTGCCGGCCACTCCCTCCCCTACCCTGGACGACGCTGGGCCAATTGTGCGCCATCCATGAGTCTCCCGGTCGTGGCCGGCTGCGACAGAGCCTGGATTCGAACCAGGATCTCTAGTGGCACAGTTAGCACTGCGATGCAGTGCCTTAGACCACTGCGCCACTCAGGAGGCTATTTCAACCAGATTAATCATGCAACAAAAAAAAATTGGCCAACAAAATTACAAAATGTTAACTTGAGTTAACTGATTAAATCTGCAATCCTCAAGGGTGAAACCGCCACGTCAATTTGCGATATTACAACAACAAAGAAGTTACTGCAAACAACGAACACTGTTGTGTACTGCATTTTTTTTTTACCATGCTGCGCGAAGCTCCTCAGCTCTGTAAACAAAAACAACGGTGGTGTGGTGACCAGTGGCACTGTTTTGCTGTTTCTCGTATCTCAGCTTTAACTCTGACAGCCCTAGTATTTCAACAAGCTCTCACAGTCTCACTGCAGAATTAGACGTTCATCCACGTTCTCCAAATGTAAAATATCGAAGTTGCTCCAAACGTCAAATTTGAAGTGTTTTTGTTGCTCCTGCTGCTCTGAATCGTTCCTTTCTCCAAACTTCAAATTTCAAAGTTAAGTGTTAAATTTAGGCACTCATTCCGAATGGTTAAGGTAAGTGTTAAGGTTTGATATAGGGTTAACATCAACAATAAAAAACCAGTGTCCACGACTGGGATCGAACACACAACCTCTCATCCACCACCCCCATCCACAATATCTTAGCAAAACCCAAGTTCACTTGATGGTAATAGCACTCTCTGTTGCCCCTAGCGGCTGGTTTTGAAGGCATTTCCCGACATCCTCAGGACATGGATAGACGTCCAATTTCGACAACAATCTTGAACGACCTGGCTGAGTATTTAGTTATAAATTGTGAAAGCTTTTTTGTGTCTTTGGGCAGTTGTGTTAGCTATGATTAGCAACACCCTCTTTTCTAGAACATACACACATTCTCTCTTCAAATAAACACACACACACACACACACAGATAAGATTAATGTTAATACAGGTTAGCTATGATCAGCAACGTCCACTCATCTATAACATACACATTCTATCTTCAATAACACACACATAACTTATGTGAAGTGCATTGACATATAGCATATAGCCACAGAGTTTCTAAACCAAGAGGTCCAACATCGCTAGACATCTGGGAAAACTTGCGAAGCAGACTCGTCAGACCAGACCAGGGTTTGAGATGTCAATGAGAGAAGTGAAAGATTCTTCCTTAGTTGTTACTTTTCTCGATTTCTAAAGGTACAACCTAGATGCAAACCAATGTTTTAACATCTTAAGGATCTGACCCTTTTTTTCAATTTTCATCTAAAATGACATACCCAAATCTAACTGCCTGTAGCTCAGGACCTGAAGCAAGGATATGCATATTCTTGATACCATTCGAAAGGAAACACTTTGACGTTTGTGGTAATGTTAAATTAATGTAGGAGAATATAAAACATTAGATATGGTAAAAGATAATACAAACAAAAAAACATTTTTGAAATGCAAGAGAAAGGCCACAGTATTAGATTGCAGTTTAGGCGCAATCTAGATTATGGCCACTAGATAGCAGCAGTGTGTGTGCAAAGTTTCAGATTGATCCAGTGAAGCATTGCAATACTGGACGTCTGCCCAAATGTGCCGAATTGGTCAATTGATACATTTTCAAGTACATAACTATAGAGAACATACACAAATGATATGGTAATACAAAATGTAAGTTTACACACTCCCAGGAATGTCATACATGATGAATCATTAGCTTATACACTAACTTTCACACATCTAGATGGCCGGGCGGGGTGGGTGTGGAGCCAGAGACAGCAAGGGTTCAAACTGTAGAACCCAGTTCCTATATTTGAATGTAAAAATTGATTTGATTAAACACAACTATGCTACATTTTATCTCTGGGACCCTCAGGATGACAAATCAGAGCAATTTACCTTCAGAGGTGAATGTATCAAACCAGTTGCCGTGCTAAGTTTTATTGTTGTTATGCACGTTCCTCAAACAATAGCATGGTATTTTTTCACTGTAATAGCTACTGTAAATTGGACAGTGCAGTTAGATTAACAAGAATTTAAGCTGTGTTTGTCAGACCATGAGACATCCTGAAAATCAGTATTCTCACAAAAAAGTCTGTAGCTTCTGAACGGTTTGGCCTACAAACTATTATCCATGGAAAGATGAGACTCTCATGAACATGATGGTGTTCTCGGTCTTCCTCTACAACCCCCACAAGTATCTTTGGGCTAGTCTGCAGTCAGTACAGCCGATCTGCCAACTTTTGTCTGTAGCATCCAAACAGTTTGGGCTACACACTAATATGTGAAAAAGTGGAAACGTGAGACTATCACGAACACGTACGTCGGTTATTTTGCTCTAGGATGCCCACAGGCCTCACAAGACTCATCTGAAGGTCCCCCGGTACCAGTTGAAAAAAATGAATGGAAGTATAAATGGAGACTGTTTAGTGACAAAAATAACGGGTTAAATAAATGTAAAAATAAATAAATAATAATGTTCCCTGATCTTTCTTTTTCATCGAATAGTTGTTTTATGCCTCCCTAGTGGTGCAGCGGTCTGAGGCACTGTATTGCAGTGCTAGTGTCACTACAGACCCAGATTCGATCCCAGGCTGTGTCGCAGCCGGCCACGACCGGGAGACCCAATTGGCCCAGCGTCGTCGGGGTTAGGAGAGGGTTTGGCCGGCCGGGATGTCCTTGTCCCATAGCGCTTTATCGACTTCTTGTGGTGGGCCGGGCACATGTACGCTGACTTCGGTTGCTAGTTGTACAGTGTTTCCTCCGACACATTGGTGCGGCTGGCTTCCGGGTTAAGCGAGCAGTGCGGCTTGGCAGGGTCGTGTTTCAGAGGACGCATGGCTCTCGACCTTCGCCTCTGCTGAGTCCGTACGGGAGTTGCAGCGATGGGACAAGACTGTAACAACCAATTGGATATCACGAAATTGGGGAGAAAAAGTACAGATAATTGTTTTATATGTTTTTGAAATACTTAAAGGCGTCTTAAAATTTTAAATCAAATAGCAAAATGATGCTTGGTATGACCTCCTTAAAACAGTTTCTACATATCTTCTTACTAAACCATCTTTGATATAGCAGTGGCCACAGCTGCACTGACATGGAGATAGGAACAGACTGAGTTTCCGAACAAAACCACTGGATGGCGTTAAAGCATTGGCTTTCATGAGAACATTTGGTCAAAACGACATCATTATACAATAGCTGGTGGATAAATGTTGGATTACTGACAGAGAATATCAGTGTATGGGTTAGACTTAGTTCTGAAATACAAAATATCTATGTAAAGTGTTCTGATGTCCTCTGTCAGATGTGACATTTGTTGACTTTGGTCAATTTTATATCAGTCCAGACCAGGGTCGTACACAGACCCTTCAGGGGGCTGCTGCTCAAAATGATTGTGATTTTCAATGCTCTTAAATCCTTAAATAATAACTTCATAATATAATAATCATAATCTTCTAACTGATATATGGCTGGCTGGCTATTGGCTTGTGTGGATATTGCGTGGTCCTCTGTAGCTCAGCTGGTAGAGCACGGCGCTTGTAACGCCAAGGTAGTGGGTTCGATCCCCGGGACCACCCATACACAAAAAAAAATGTCTGCAAGCATGACTGTAAGTCGCTTTGGATAAAAGCGTCTGCTAAATGGCATATTATTATTATTATTATATTTTAGTATATGGTGGTTAGCTAAGGTTTAGACTACCTGTATTGCTACTGCCCAGACACACGTGCAACTCCCGACTGAAGAAAACATGAAGCTGAGTCGGAGTATCGTTGATGCAGTCGCTCCTCTCTATGTCTTTCTTCCTTTCTCTGCCAAACAGACCGAATATTGATTATGTATATCAAGTGCTACTCCAATTATATGCTGCTGTGGCAGTACTGTTGATATTTAAATCTGTTTCTCATTATGGCCATTCTGCTGATGGACTGGGTCAGAGTGGCTTTGGCCAGAATCCGACCAGTGACTAATCCTAATTGCCTGAGCAATTTATCCCCATTAGGCTTTTGACTCCACCTCTCCATTTTGTACTGTGGTCATTGTTCATTTCTGTCACTGTTTCACAGGTATGGAACTGAAGCACGTAGGGTCTGCCTTTGTTCAGGAAATGGAATGAAATTAAATGCACAGAAATTGCTGCATAAAGTGCATTATACACTGAGTGTACAAAATATTAGGAACACATTAATATTGAGTTGCACCCCTGTTTGCCCTCCGAACAGCCTCA